TACAGTAACTGAAACTCTCATACGCTGCTGGTGGGAACATAAAATATCATTATCTATTTTGGAAGACAGTTTGGCAGTTTCTTACAAAGTCAATCACATGACATAACTCAGTAACTATGTCTAGGTCTTCACCCAAGAGAAATGGAAACATATATCCACATGAAAACTTATACGTAAATATTTATAGAAGTTGTATTTGTAAAAGCCAAAAACTGGCAACAACCCAAATGTTCATCAACACATGAACGGATAAACAAATTGCATTCAATCATGCAATGGAATACTACTGCGCAACAAAAAGAAACAAATGATCGATATGCCAGCATGACTGAATCTCAAAAACATGCTAATGAGAGAAGTGAGGCACAAGATAATACACTGTATGATTCCATTTATGTGAAATTCTAGAAAAGGCAAATCTAATCCATAGTGACAAAAAGTAGATCAGGGATTTCCTGGGGGTGACAAACTAGGGGGTGAGGACTAATTATAAAGGGGCACAAAACAATGTTTTTGGAGGGGGTTCTATAACTTGATGGTAGACATGGTTACGTGAGCATATATACTTACCAAAACTCAGAACTATACATTTAAAATGGGTACACTTTATCTTGTGTAAACTATAGCTCAATAATATTGCTTTCAGAATACACATATATATGTATATATAGAGCTCATATTCTTTGACCTATCATTCCATTCCCCAGAATCTATCTATGGAAATACTCACATATATGTACTTGAATGCACAATGGCACATCATTATAATCAAATACTACACACTTGTTTTTAAAATGAGGTGGACTTTCACATACTGGCATGGAAAAAATCTCCAAGATACAATGTTAAGATGCAGGTTGAATAACAACATTATCACATGCTCCTATCTGCTTAAAAATAGGTAAAACAAATATCACAACCACACAGGAAGTGTTTACCTTTGGGCAAAGATGATGGAGAACTTCATGCTTCACTCTGTATTACTGAACTGTTTTACAGAGTGAAACTATTCATGAATTGCTTGGGTAGTTTTTAAAAACTGAAAATGAACCAAGAAGTTTTGGTGGTTGTCAAGGGGAGTCACCAAATTTGAGAACAAACCTTTCTTCAGTCAAAGCCCAGGACAGCATTTAAGAAGAAAACAAAGGTTTAGTGAAAATACAGACACACACATGCACACCAGAATTGCTGCTTCTGATAAAAGAGGGATCACTGGATTGCTCACTGGATCAATACAGAAGAAACCCCCAATTTAAACAACTACTCATCCTCCAAGAGCTAACACAAGTGTTCCTTCGCAGTGAAGTCCTTTCCAGTTTCGAAGGGAGCTCTCAGCCTGTCATTACCCTTATCTTTGTTCCCACCAGGCTGAGCAGTTCCCTGTCCTGTGCAGGTCTGTGACTTCATGTTAAGTTGACCAAGTCTCAATACTTGACACTCATTTGGTGCATGAACCAGTTATGTTCCCAAAAATGATCCACATTTAATTTCTAAAAGCTCAAAGAATTGCTACCATCTTCAACTCCCCAACAAAATACCTTCAGAATTGGTTTGGCCAAAGTGCCAAGCCCTGATCCTCTCTGGATGGGGTAGAGGTTTGGTAGGGGGTATCTTCAGAGCACAGCTCTGGGAATAACAAGCAGTTACCCCTCCCACAAGGGGGATGAAGGAGCCTCCTCCAACTTACCTTGAAAGCTACAACTTTTCCGGATATGGTACAGACAGATCTGATCACCCTCCTCCTGGCTAAGAGTGTTTGGGGACACAGAACCTGAACTGTCTTTTCTTTCTGCAAAGAAACACCACAAAGATATGTCAGCTTCTGACAAGGGATACAAAGGAGAGTTAAAGAGGATTCATTCAGCTCTCTGCACAAAAGTGGGCAAGGCAAGCTCACAGAGCCCTATCATGTTTGGGGTGAAAGTGCTCCTACACAGGTGGGCCCTCTACTTTTTAGTGACAGGCTGGCAGCCTGAGGCCACACAGCT